ACTCTACACCCCCCGGAAACAGCGGTTTCTCTTTCAGATACAGCCACAGCATCCCAAAATTTGGATTTTTAAAATTCCGAAAAATATCTTTCGTTTCGAAAAACAAAATTTTCACACCCAATATGTCACTCAAAAAAAAATGGCGATATCTTTTTCATTGTTGTTTTTTGTTTATTGTTTCCGAGTGGAAACTTTTGTTCCATAATTTGGAATTTGTTTAATCAAGCGAGATAAAATTAAAGGAAAAGGAAAAGGGTAATAAATAAGGGTAATCATAAAAAAATAGAGGATGTGTTATGTAATTTATATGATGATAAAATAGTTTTATTGATTCAAAGATACATAATTTGTTTTACAATGGGTGTTCAGGTACCTTATGTAATTAAACAGAATAAAATACAACAAAAATTAACAGGATAACATAACAATTCAAGCGGTCAATCAATCTTATGTAATTAAACAAGACAAAATATAAAAAAAATATCATCAGGATAACAGGAGAACTGAAGAGGTGTTCTGTGTAAAATAAAAAAATTCGAAAAAATTCGAAGTCGCTCCCCTAGTCAGCTAAAAGAATTATGGAGTTTTCCTCAAACGTGACAAACCAGGCTTGCTGAAAATTGCAAACAGGCGTCATGATGATAAACCGGAACTTATAACCATAAAATGAAGTTATTACCGTTGGCTATAATTTTGAACAGGAAATAATCGTTAAAAAGGAATAACAATTTCTCACGTCGATTTGGTGGTAACCGTTAACACTCGACTACTTGGCTCATAGCCGTAAGGGATAACCCGATGAAGTGATCTCTCTCGCGTCTAATGACCCCTTCACCAATCCTCCCACTAGCTGGTTTGCCATTCCTAATTCCGATCGATGGCCAGCTTATTAGCGAGCAACTTTCGATAATCTCGTTATCCCAACACCGAAAGCGAGGAGGCGAGGTTATCGAGTGACGGAGGTAAACGAGATATCCAAGCAGCCCACGACAAAACCACGGAATTACCCCCGGGCTTGGATCAACAACCTCACACCACCTCAGTTACGATTTTCGATAACTTGAGGGAATGTTTCCCTGTCGAAGGGTCAGAGAAAACTCGGCTGAAAGTGTTTGAGAAAAGCTTACAACTATTTTGGCTGTTTCAGAGGCGTCAAGAGGATTTGACGGATTACAAAGTCGTTCGAAAATCTATCGAATTGAACACTGACAATAGAAAACTACACAAAAAAAAAATATTATTTTTCACTAGTGCAAGATTAGACTGTTCATGTGTAAAAGTTCTAAAAAATCTCTCAAGTCAATTCTTTAGCTTTTATGATGCCTTCAAAGATAGAGTTCTGCCTTAGGAATTTCAAAATTTTCGAAGCTAGTGTCTAAATCATGAGCATAAAAATATGATCTGAGGTGTTACTACATTGCCGTATGTCACGTCGATACTTTATACCTAAAACCTATAAAATCCCGTCACAACTCCGATCCATTGAATATATTCGACAAAAAATCCCGAACAATGCAATGCATACCGCCATGAGGTCAACAGAGTGATGGAAAAAACTGCTTATCGCGTTATAACTATCCGAGAATTTTCCAAAACGAAACGATCCAGTTCCAACACTCGTCTGACTTTACGAGGATCGTTCCACTGTTGGCTTTCGTATATACGTTCACTACTTTTTTCCTCCTTACTCTTGACTCGATCCCAATCCCCAGTGTAACCCGCCCTCAACCCCATTCCAACAGGCATTCGGGCTTTTCCGAGAATACAGTGGTTTTTCAGTGGTCTTTTTATCCCCCTCCTGAAATCGAGGGTTGTATTCTCCGAGTAACGGCATCACACTCAACAGAAATGTACTCCACGAGAATATGGTAACATTTCGAATGGGTGTACGTAACGTTACTCGTTATCCACCGTATTGTCGTATCCCCTCAGGGTATTGTTGACTGTTTCCAAATCCGCTCTCAGATTTTTTCAACCGAATATATTGGATGATCGTAGCAGTACTTGGATAATCCAAGCTAATATCTCCCTGACTTTACTCTCTACCTTCGCCATTTACCCTTTTCTCACTCATAAAGTTTTGTTTTGACTCACCTTTGGATGCCAGATATGATAAATGCCAGGATCTGTTGCTCTGATAACTTTGATATTACTCCTGACGTACTTTCTGTAAAGGGTAACGTCCTCACCACCCCATCCCACTATGTCCTCGTCAAAGCCACGGACCCGCAGGAAGTCTGATCTGGAATTATTCGATTACAGGGAAATGAATCTTGGATGTGCTGAATAATCACATGAACTGCCAAAGGAAATTACTAAGATTGTTGCGAGTCTACTCGAAGAAGGGATTACAGTTTATTATCCGAAAAATTGAAAGGGAATTGAAAACAATTGGGTTGAATTCCGGGGCTATATTTATCGGATGACAATACATATGGAAGAAACTCACCTGTACTGGCAAGTCATGCCATAACCAAAGTCCCTCCAGAAACCCGTGTCCCTAGAGATAACAAGTTGATCCTTCTCAGGTGGCACCTTGCGCCCCTGAAGCGTGTAGACAACATGAGGATTGTACAGGCTAAAGACAATGGGATAATAGACCTTGCGTCCTGGTGCTGTATTCCAACGGCATCTACATCACACAGGAAGTATTTCTCAAATTACCCTAGCATGAAAGCCCCACTTAGAACAGAACGAGCTAACTTTTCCACAGATACCCCGAGGGTCTTGGAATTTTCATAAAACTCACCTGTCAAGGAATCTCGCACTGAAGACAACATCCACATCGCACATGAATAGAAGAACATCACCCTCTCCATTCCATGCTCTCTCAGCGCCAACCCTCAGGCCCTTTCCCCTGGAGAAGGTTTCGTTGAGAGCCAACAAGCGAAGATTCTGATTAGATCCTCCACTGCCCCGAGTCATCAGCACCCTAGACATGATAGCTTGAGCCTCGGAGAGTCCCTCAGTACCAAAATAAACGACAGTCAGGTGCACTCGCTTGTCATTCTTCAATCCAATCTTCACGAATTTGTCCATGAAGCTTTGGAAGGTACCAGTTCTACCGGACAACGGTAGAATAATATGGATCAACTCTTTCTCCTTCGTCTGCTGCCTCTGCACCGATACAAAATGAATCGGTGCGTAAGGCCTCATCATTACGATTTTTGTGTACCCAGGATTCAATACCTGGAGGCCTTTTTCGTGACTCTTCGTCTTAAAGTACATCTCGTACTGTGTCCCGGTGGTTGGTTCAACTCTGTAGAGGCCCTCCAGAAAATCCTCAGTATTGTACCTTCCAGCCACCGAGGAGATGTTCTTGTTGAGTGTGTCAATAGCCTTGGAGACAGCCTCGAGGATGTCCTTTCGTTTGAAGCCAATTGGCTTCTCTACAACTCGCTTGCCTAAACCCAGATCGACTGGGTAGAGGCGGGATATCGTGAAGTGACTGAATGCTATAAGCTCGTACTCATTGTTGAGGGGTAGGCCCTGGGCTATTTCGGCAAACTCAACTTGACGTCTTGCTGCTAGGCAATCACCTATCTCCGTGGAGTTTATCGAGGCCATCGTTTCCGAATGCCCCGGTGGCCCACCTAAACATAAAGAGATAACTCCTTAAATTAATCAGAGAACGACAATAATGTTAAAACATGAAAATCGATAAATGGGCGTATATGAGAAAACCAAAGCACCGGATTACTTTACGACAGGAAACACGATCCTTTATTTCTCCAAGGGGTCTCAACCCACCGTAACGACAAGGCGTTTGGTTACGTGTACGAATGGAGTTCGAAAACCGGTATGGCAGAGGATTTTGATACAACGAAAGGAGTCTCGAGCACGCGATTCACGTGGATAAATGGCAGCAGAAGAGAGAAATAGTCTCCTCTGTGCTCGAGGAAAATGGCAATACACATTCCTGAAGAAGTTAATGCTCGGTAGCTTTAAATTTACGTTGAAATGCGTGACTTGTTCGGCAGTTCTCGTAACTCTGAGAGGGTTTTTATTAGCTTCAACATTTTAATGCTCGTAGTGAGAGAAGGTTAGAGTTACTCGTAATGGGAAATAGCAGCTCATGGTTTTAACTCAGTGCCTTTTACGAAGAAGAAAATGAGATGCGAAATGGTAGTGAAAGGAAAGAGAAAAATGAGAGAGATAGAGGGGAGAATTGATAGAGACAGATGGATGGTAACAGCCGGGGAAAAAGGTTTAGGAGTGAAATTGTAAAGGATAGACTAGACCTTTGTGAGAATCTTCAAGAGGGGATACTGAAAGTAGTGGCAGTTGCAAAATGCTTGAAAGTGCCGCTCTCAGCTCTTTACCTTGACTAAAGCCAAAAGAAGAATTGCGCGCTGTTGTTTTTAGGAGCATCTTGCAGCGTCAGTCGACAGTTTTGTTACTCTGTTAACTTCCGTAACGACAGACGCCATTATACAGTCCCTGTCCCCCTCCCCCCCCCCGCACCATTTTTTTTTTCTTCAACTCGAGAATGTTTATTCAGGAATTATAGGAGGGCGGTAATTGTTCCCCTCATTGTCATTAAATTCTTTTGAAACGTTCCTTTTCATAAATGGAGTAATTAAATTCTGAAGTAATTCTTGTTTGAATGGAAAGTACTTGAGATTTTATGAGATTTAATACTGACAGCTGTAATCGTAAAAAATTTTCACCGGAAAGGCGTCAATGTAGTCGTGGCTTGTTGGAGATGTGGAATATGAAGAAGAGCATCCGGGATTTCATGATTTCTCAACTTGAATGGCCGCGACGAAGTTGTAATGGAGCACTCTGGATGGTGTGGGGTGAGAATCCTGGAAACAGGAATGAAGCACATCCGCAATGCTGGTGGAATGCTCTCTGGAGGGATGGAGAACGACGTGAGCATCGAAAGACGCTCGTCTTCAGCTAGGCGTACATCGTGTCCTTTCGTCTGTCCAAACAACGGAATTCACCGTAAAACTCCAAGTTCTTTATTTCGCTTCCTTCACCGTCACATTGAGTGCCGACTCAAATGATTCATCTGGAGGGCGAAAGTTTGTTGAAGAGGACATCTCCTTTTGCAGCTTTTTCGTTGGATCAAAGTAGCAGACAAACCAGCAACATTAAATTGTCCGCAGCGATGTAATAATGATAGCAATCAGCTTCGATTCACTGTGAAAGTTTGGTGGAAATTCCTCTGGTATACCGAAGAACCGTCACAAGTTTTTCAATGGGAGCAGGAAAAAGTTTCTTTCAATGGACATTTTATTCTCAATCGTCCCATTCATCTTGCCATCCAACTGCATCAGCGTTGAGCGGTCTTCAACCACTGACAGTATTTCATGACAGTATTTCTCTGTATTGTCTTTTTATTTTCTCAAGATTAATAACCAAGAGTCTGCATCGTCTGATAACACATCGCCCCCACACATCCTTTCTCTTAATACAACAGCAGACAGTTACACAGTGCAACCAGTAAGCTCCTTACTCACCACAAAGCCATTGTTTACGCACTCACAAATTACACATAAACTTGGGCTTCACCACTTCCCACAGTTTCCAGCTTCTTCACACCTCTTGCCCTGCCACCACGTACCAACAATTTGTAATGTCTAGCGCGAGAAACAAGTGTCGCTTGCTTGTCATCACAAAGGCCATCTTGGTAGCATGCAAATTCTGGACAAATATTTTGATTCAATTTGTCGGGGATACAGTACACGATTATCCAACGTGTCCATTTGTGTCGTTTCGGAAACGGACTAGACGTCAGTTCTCATTACTGTCCAGGCGTTATCAACCGACAACCAAGTCCCAGGGATCTTACCTAATTTGGGTCAGCATTTGCCGAGTTCACCGAGCAACTAACGATTTGGAGAAGTTGGTCCGAGGGGAATTGAATTGAAGTTAAAGTCAATTTCGAGGGAATTACGGGTTGATGGAATGATTGGAGATGTGAAAATGATAATAATTTTCTTCGTCAAATGGCAGTCGTATGCTTTTAAGTCGTAATTCGAAAGATTATGAGAGGCACATGGACTCAATGTCACAAAAATGGCATAAACTTGAGAGGCCGTCATGAAATTTCGAATAACGGCACTCCGTCATTTGAATCCCAAACGATCTCATAATATTGAGCAGCTATCATGAAACTTTGAGTATTTGGCCTTATTACTTCAGTGTCGATGAAATATAAAGCGGATGCTGTGAATTACTGTCGCAAAATCATTTATGCAATTGTGATGCAACACAAATTACCACGAATCTACACCATTTACACAGTAACGTGTACCAAAGTATTTTTATTTTTATCGATGTCATAATGACTTGCTACGACTTACCAGTCAACTGGAGAATTTGTAGTTTGAGGGTGCGAATCTCAGCAGTGAGTCTCTCCAATTCGAGCTTGGTCTCCTCCTCTCTCTGACTAGCTTCACTTGCTGGTGTGATCGGATCTAAAAAGAATAACAAAAACATTCCATGAGTGATGCTATTCCATTAATCAAACCCACCCAACTCTGAACTCAGCATAATACTGTCTAAACAGTGACAGATGCACTCTCGTAATGCATGTGGACGAATGTAAAAGGACGCCTCGTATGTACGTGTTGCGGGAAGTAAATTTACTATAAATTTATGTGTGTAAGTGTTTGTGATGCCTTGCAGCATTATCTCGTATTTCAAGCCCCGTGGAATAAGCGCCGTGGGCTTTTGCTGTGTACGACCGCATCAGTTGATGTCCATGCGCCTCTAGCTCGGGTAAAACTTTTCCCTTGGATTTCCACCCCAAAAGCGTCGAGATATTCTCGTGATAGACGCTTATCCGGCACCGGCTTTTATGGTGTTCTCGTTTATGGCCGTTGGTTCTACCTCACTTTCTCTCTTCCACACCAGTTTCTCGTTTTCTCAGGGATGTACCGCTGCGGAAGTACCAACCGACTAGGCCAGTTATATTCACTCCCATCGTACTGTTTTGGCCACCAAATTTTTCCACAGTACCAGCGGGGTAGGAGTGGGGGGGAAAATGTCATTGCGGTTTATGAGCTGAAAAACTTCAGACCGGTGTCTTCCCTCTTTTCAGTAAAAATCTTACTTCAACTAATTTCAGAGTTGGCGAGGATTATTTGTCTTATTCTACATCAATGTACCGAGAAATTTATTACGACATGCTAATTTTTGGTCTTTATCTCTAGATGAATTACTCCATTTCAATTAGTTTACGAAATGGATTGTATCTGGCGAAAATTGCATTTTCTTTTTTTGTAAAAATCGTGAGAAAATGAGTTTCGGAGAAATAATCTCGATCGTCTTGAAGAAGCTGAAATAAAATGGTAGCGATATTGCGTTGAGTTCTGTGGAAAACCCTCGAGGAAAATAGATGGGCGTTGATTACAGATAATAGAGCGAGAGGTACGTGGTATCTCTGTGATAAAATCTCGGGGCAAACTCTTTTCCTCGGAGTCCTATCGCGAATCGATCTCGAGTTTTGATTGAGGGGAGTGCATTAGACACCCAGCTAATCGCTGATTGGATACCTCCGGCGAAATGATCGGAGCAGTCGATTTAAAAATAGGAAGGGAAGAATCGAAAGATATCCCCGATTTCAACGATAAGAATTTCTCACCAATTCACACGCCCAGTCAATTTCAGGCACTCTCTGTCAAAGACTAGAGGACTGATGATTGCAATTTATCAAAGAGCACATCTGGTTGGTGTAGACGGGAAAAATCAATGTGATGGGACAAAGAAATGATTGATAAACCGCAAAGTGCTTCGGCATGAGTGGATCGGAGAGAATCAAAAAGTAAAAAATGACACGAGTCACGTTCGACTTGATATTTCTCATGTTACGAATAATTTCAAGTCAGAAAGAAAAATATTGAAAAACTTCTGTAGATAGTTTATACTAATACCTTTCATTAAAACAATAAATTATTAGTATGGCGCATGACAAACTTTATTTTCAAAATAAATGAGTGGATCGAAGAGAATCAAAAAGTAAAAAATTATACGAGTCACGTTCGACTTGATATTTCTCATGATACGAATAATTTCAAGTCAGAAAGAAAAATATTGAAAAACTTCTGTAGATAGTTTATACCAATACCTTTCATTAAAACAATAAATTATTAGTATGGCGCATGACAAACTTTATTTTCAAAATAAATGAGTGGATCGAAGAGAATCAAAAAGTAAAAAATTATACGAGTCACGTTCGACTTGATATTTCTCATGATACGAATAATTTCAAGTCAGAAAGAAAAATATTGAAAAACTTCTGTAGATAGTTTATACTAATACCTTTCATTAAAACAATGAATTATTAGTATGGCGCATGACGAACTCAATTTTCAAGATGACTGAGAAATTTAGTGAACGTCTCTAATTAAAATTGAGTGCAAACATTCAATAAATTTTTCACAGCTCATTTTAAAAATACTTAGTTTAAATAGTTTTACGGGTTTTCCGGTGGTAAATTACAAGATTTTCTCATTAACATTTCTTGCGAGAAATTCAAGCTTTCAATGATTAAAACATTTCGAACTTCAACTTTTGACGGACTATTTTTTTCGGTCTGAACTCTGAGACTCGGACAACTACGGAAGAGAAAAATGAGGAAAAAAAAAACGATAGCTCGTTATTCTTCAAGTACTTCATGAGTTTTTCCGATGGAGGCGCGGGTTAGAGTGAGGTGGAACGAGGGGTTTACGACCAGTGTAAAGCATTGAGGATTCGGTAAGTACGATAAATCGCGTACGTTTCTTTCCACTGGGCTCAACCTTCCGCCTCCCTTCGTCCACCAGTTCCAGTGTAAGTGAAATAAATGTCTCTGTTCATGGCTTAATGGGCTGAGATACCGAGAAAACTACAATGGAAGTCCTTGTTGCCTCTTCTTTTGGGGATCTTCTGTCATCAAATGACGGGTCAACAAGAATTTCAAACTCTTCCACAATTACTCTGAAAATTTCTGGTCTATTTTACATTGACGAATCAGTTAATTTCTCGATTATTCCGATAACTCGTAATTTTTTAATTTTCTTGAATTTTTAATAAACTGAAGATTCGGCGTAAAAATTCAGGAATACAAAATCATAAAGAATATATAATTCAAAAAAATGATTTTCACTCGCTCGTGAATTACAGTTCAGTTCTAAGCAACATTTTTGTTATCTTCTTTTACCGATTTCCGTTGGCTTTTCTTTCCGTGTGGTTAGAAATTTCGAGATTAGAGAATCTGAGGGTGAATTTGATAAAATATTTATTTGCGTGTGCATGAAGTAAGTTTTCTCTCGAATGAGAACAGAATGCGATGGATCTGGAGCCGTAACGGAGCCCATCATTAGCAGAGATGAAGAATGAATGAGAAACAGAGAAAAGGGCAGAACAGGGAGTAAATAAAGTGAAGGTAACATCGAAAATTGAATAAAGAGACGTCAGTGAATGGTAATTACTCGTACCAGTGTTGTTTCATGGAATGAATCGTGGGCATGCAAACTCCATACCTAAAACCCTCCACCCAATGCCACGTATACACAACTATTCATTTATTCTTTCCAAGCAGTTACGTATTCAACGGCCAGAAGTTGTTGGCCGCGGGCATAATTTAAAATTCACGTAGGTAAGACTGCAGTTGTTTTTTTTCATTATTTTTTTCAAGGGAGATGGAATTGTGCCAGAGGATTCTGCGGACCAGCCATTCCTGTAGACGAGTACGGGAATGCCTTCCAAACTTTTTTTTTATTCTTTTTTTTTTGTGACTGCTCTTTTTAGGGGTCCCAGTGCATTCTTCACTGGATTTCGCGGCGAGAGTTGAACGGGAGAAATTTCCCTGATTAATTGAATTCGTTTCTGAACCATTGGCAGATGAGAAATTAACTGATTTGCTAATTAAATTTCATGTCACGTTACTCGAAAAGTTTTTATTTTTCCACTGGCTGCCAGTGCCGTAACCATGGACTGACGTAAACTATTATTTTTTGGGTGCATACACGGAGAGAAATATTTAGTAAAAATTACGGAACTTTCAGTTCACTTACCGATTACGGAGTTGATTCGAAAAATTTAAGTGACGGTATCGTTATTTTTCACCGATAATTCAGATAAAAATTACGGAACACCGCGGAAAAATTCCGTGACTTTAGTTAAAAATTACGTGACAGTTCCGTAAAATTTCCGACAACCACATTTCGCTCCAGAATTACGGAAAATACATGTAATTTTTATTGAATATTTCTCTCAATGTAAAGAACGGATTATCATGTCCACTTTTATCCACGGAATGGACAGACAAAAAAATCACCCCTCCAGAGAAAAAAAGTAAGCGACCAGCTACTGGATTCGTCACACCACGTTTGTATGCGTAACTGAGTGCTTTTCACCCTCGACCCTCTTCGATTTCAATGGGTAAATCCACCCCCTATTCTATCCCCCATATCCACTAGCGTTTTACTGTTATATATACATTACGCTCCTCTCAATGTGCGTAACTAAACTGCAATGGGATGTACAGGGTGTCCCAAAACCCAGCGTCCAAACTTCAACCCAAAGGGGGTGGGAATTCTGGATCGAAAAGTCCGGAGCAATTTTTTTTTAGCAATATTTTTATTTCCCCTGAGAAAACCAGCCCCAGTTTTGGGTTGTAGTTTGGACGTTGCGTTTTGAGACACCCTGTATGAAAGAGGGGGATCAAGAGGGAAAAGAGGGGCACGTAGAATCGCGCGTGAGATAGCAAACGAGAGGGATCGAGGATCGCATAAAGATGAGGACATGCATACGTGGACAGGTGGGAAACAAACCACCAGAGTGCACTCACGTGTCGAGGGAAAAAGACGAGAGAAATGTTGAATAAATGATGGAATTAAATGAGAAAATTTAATGGATATTCAACGGATTTGTCTTTTGATATTTCAAGGGGATACCTCATCCCAAAGATATCAATTATTTTTACATTATATATTTTTACGATTCATTGAATTAACGAAGAATTTATCTGAAATAAATGGAATGGAATTCCAGAAATTTAAGCACAGATTGCGAATCTTTATTCGATGCGACTTTTTTTTTACCCTTGGAATATTCAATAAATGTGAAAATGAAAAATATTTTCGTTAGTGAGAAATTCCAGGTCATCGAAATTATGGGAATTTGATAAAATTGTTATTCAACGAACGATAGAGAGAACGGGATTGAAACACCGGGAAACATTGAAAATCATGCTTGCCTCGGCTTTGAAATTCCTTCTTTATTTTCTTTTCAATAAAAAAAATACCGCGAAAAATAATGAAATATCGCCGACGAATAATCGACAGATTGTAATAAAACAAAATCATTCAACAATAAATCAACGATAATTCGAGGTGAAAGTGGAAGTGGGTGGAATTGAATTATCACCAAAATTTCATCAATTGGAATGGTGTGACATCCGAAAAGCCCGTATACCTTTGAAAACTCCGAC